GCTTATGAGCGTATTAGATGAGTAAGCTGCCTGGCTAGAGAAATAATGGACTGGACAAATCTGAAAGCAAGAGGCAGGGTTCCCAGTGCAGGGTGTTCAGCAGTGTACCTGGATGTCCTGACCTCCCCTGCAGTGTCCAGATTCTACGTATTCATTTAAGACCAATCCTAAGCCCACATCTTCCCTTGAGCTTTCCCCATTCTACCCCACCTCTGAAGGCACCCAGCACTAATCTGTGCCTTTCCTGGGAACTGCTTCCCTTTACCTGGAAGCACTTCGGTGGGTGCTTTCAGGTGCTGTGTCGTCTGTCCCTGAGAAAAACTGATACAAACACAGAACTGTCACTGTCAGTCTACACATGGGACCCTCGGAGAAGCAACTTTCCTGATGCTGAAGGAACTTACATTTGAGGTCAGTCCTTGTGCTCCAAATTCCTGACACCATGCCTGTTTTATATTCCATATTAAATCAAGTATCTCCTCAAAAAGAAATCATAACTTCTATATCTTTAGTAAAATTAAGCTGATTCAAGGAAATTATACATAGGCTGAATTTGTTATCTTCTAGGAAAAGTCTGCAATCCTTAAATTCTAACCAACTTCTGTTAGTAAAAGCTAAGTACCTTTTAAAAAGTACTGGCACTATCTCCATTTTAAAACGTTGGCTAATTTACCTGATGTATTGCCAGACCCATACATGCCAAGGTTTTCTCAGGGGCATCTCTTAATGCATTTTCTATGTCTGGTATCAGGTTAGTTATTTCATCATCTTTTGTCAGCTCTTTAAAGTCCACCAGAATGCTTCCCTTCCTTTCTATTTCATCCTATAAAAGATTAAATCTTAAATATAACAACTGCTTTTTTGCAAACCAATTATCATAATAATTCAGTATGCATTTTGAGAAAGCATGGAATAGTCAGTCACACAGTGATAATTCTAAGTTCTCTGACATAGCTGTAATACTGCAAATATTTTCATGTACACACTTAACAAACTTTTGAAGTTTCTATTTATAGTAATATCTCTAAGGATGAGAAAGCTTAAGTAGAGAGAATATAATTCACTTAGGCCCACAGTGCTAGTATGTGAGAACCAGTATCTAAGTGACACCCATCCACCTCCAGCGCTCACTCACTAGCACCTCAAACATACTGTCCAGTTAGCTGTCACATAAAGACAGACAGACTGTCAGTGTTGTTGTAGAAAGCACTTACCTTATCATAAAGGTCAATATGCCTTGTGAAAAATTTCTCAAAAGCTTGAATCTTCTCAATAAAAGGAGAGCTATTACTGTAAACTAATCCAACAAATACAGCATTAGCACCAATACTCAAACACAGAAGCATTTATATTTTCCTGAGACAGATCCCTAGAAACACCACAAATTTCCCCCTTACTTACTTTGTATTGTGATTATATTTGAATACTGATATGAATGAATACTTGAGATTCTAAAAAGAAAATGACATCTGAATAACCTGAAATATCTATAAAAGTCCAAGCATCTGAAAAACTTTCTACTGAGTCTTGAACTCCTCAAAGAGTATATCAATTCAAATATCTCATACAATAAGCTTAAACTAACCATTATAATAAATGCAAAGCCATACACATGAACGGAGTTAAACATAATCACTATCTTTGCAAAGTAAATTCTACTTGTTCAGACTGCCACCTTTCAAATTATTTCTGAAGACTGAAGACAGACCACAGACCAATGCTTAACTATAATGTCCAAACTATAATGCTGCTTCAGTCTAGTGAAATAGAGCTGGTCAACTTTAAGCAAGGTATCTCTTAAATCCCATCTTTAGTAACCTAAAGGTCACAGTTCTCTGAGCTAACTGCTAGGACAATAATAAAAACGTTGGTGGTTAATGTATCATAAAGGAATTAAAAGATCTTCCGTGAAACACATCTATCAAGTTAATAGGGAAGGAAAGAAGAATTCACTCACAGAATGAATACTGAAAATACAAAGACAGGATCCTTGACCACAGCAATATAGTATACTAGGGGCGAAAAACACACAGCTTTAGCTGGGCGGTGCTGGCATACGCCTTTAATCAGGAGGCAGAAGTAGGCAGAGTTTGAGGCCAGCCTGGTCTACAAGAGCTAGTTCCAGGACAGGATCCAAAGCTACACAGAGAAACCCTGTCTCGAAAAACAAAAACAAACAAAAAAATCCACAGCTTTAAATAAAAAGAACAAAAAAGCACATTTCATAAAAGATATAACAAGCATGTAGACATCATAAAGAAGGAAGAACAAGATCTCCACAGTTCACAAAAATGTCTGACAGTAGATGGTATTCTTCTCTACACAAACTTGAAGTGGCATCTAACTCTTGGTTCCAAGCCTATTACTCTGTTTCTTGCTGGGACACTGACACCTGTGCCCAAGTTCCCAGACAACCTTTAGGTTTACTTACTGGAGACACTGTAAGGACTGGAAGGCGGCAAGAAGTATGAAATAAACTATTCTTGTTTTTATTCCGTCTTTTAAGATTTACTTTTATGCATATGTGTGTCTGTGTTAAGTATGTTACATGTGCAGGTGTCTGCAGAGGCCAAAGGAGGGTTTCAGAGCAAACTTTCTTCTGGAACCCAAGTTCAGACCCTCTAGAAGAATAGCAATTATGCTTAACTTCTGAATCACCTCTCCAGCACCTTGTTCCGGTTCTTTTCAGTATCTCTCCTACTGCACAGAACAACTACAGTTCCAAGCTCCAGGATCCAACCAACATCTGATGAGTCCTTAGTTACTAGGATCAACCAGCTTCATTCATCTGTGTTCTGAGCACAAAGCGGGGTGCCTTCCTAAGTCCTAAAGCACAGCTTTGGAGGGTGCCCTGAGATTAAAGCGACATCTCTACTGTTCCTCCACTTTTGAACTCCCAACTTCTGACAGCCTTGGAATGTCTGGATTTTTGTCCTCCCTCAGCCACAAGGATCAGACTGCTGTGTTTGGTAACACTGCTTTCCAGGAGGTTACCTCAGTGTTCCCTTTCTGTTTTTTGAGTCTTCCACATACACATCTAATTCTTTGAGACACTCACCAGTTTGTTTTCCTGATACATGTATAAAAACAACGCTCCTAACAGATGTTTGGGAGAGTAGAAGGTATGTTATCAGACAGCCAGCCGAATCATGGTAACATGAAATGCAGTATCCAGAAATGGATACACAACTCCTGGTACTTTTAAGCTCTTTAACTCTACCTTCAGAGAAGTAAAGCTTCCAGCCCTTATACGGTATAAACTGATCCAACGTTGACTGTAGACGTAAAGACTGTGAAGTCTGCTCTGAAAAAGTAGGATATAATGTTAGTAAAAAACAAAGCACTGTTTTCACTCCTAGTCCCCCCCCCAGGGTCTATTAATAGAGTCTAAACTGGACAGTTCAATAAAAATAATATCCTGCTGTCTACTAGGCATGACTTGCTTTTTTAAAACATGTTTATACATATGTGTTGTCTGTGACCATGCGTGGGCCAACACATGCCAGTGTGCACATGTGGAGGTCACATGACAGCTTGCAGGAGTCAGTTCTCTCCTTCCATCATGTGGGTTCCTAGGGACCTGAGGGTCATCAGGCTTGGTGGCAGGCACTCTTTCCTACGCCACCATTTCCTGGCCCGTAAGCTGTTTATTTCACGAGAACGTACTTACCAGAAGTGTGTTTTCCTGTGGCTTTACTAGGGTCAGCTCTGTCCTCTCTTCCTCTCCAGCTTCCTGAGAAGCTCCCGCCACCTCTTCCTCTCTTCCAGCTTTGGAATCTTCCCCGTCCAAAACCTCTTCCTCTATATGCACTGCTCATGTCTTCTAGAGGTCAATAGCACTCCTAAAAATGCATTAACGGAGTAAAAGGAGGAAATCAATGTATTGTGTTGAGACTTGCAAACAGGCTTGCAAAATTCCATGCCACAGTGTAAAGCTTACGTTTTGTGTAATTATTTAAGAATTTTTTTGTTTGTTTTTCGAGACAGGGTTTCTCTGTGGCTTTGGAGCCTGTCCTGGCACTAGCTCTTGTAGACCAGGCTGGCCTCGAACTCTGCCTCCCAAGTGCTAAGATTAAAGGCGTGCACCACCACCGCCCGGCCTCAAGAATTTAATACCCGTCACGATTTATGGTACACTACAGCCGTTTACTCAGCACCAGTCTTCAAAGAACCACCAAGACAGAAATAAAGACGGTAACTTGAACCTGTCTGCAGTGTTTGAGCCTATTATTAGGCAATACTAGCTGCACATAATCCCCACCCGTAAGATTCTAGGGCTATATCGTAGTTCAATCTTTGTTGTATTATTTCCTGTGGCAAGCTGTCCTAAACTGTTCTAAAGGATAATAAAAATCCACTTAAAAACTCCTATCCCACTGCTACAAAGTATTAATGATATATTCATACACTGCGGTGAAATTCATTAGGAGAGCCTATTCTAATCTCGACAGGGTTTAGTTAGTAACTAAAAGGTTCGAAAGCAAACTAAGCTTGATTGTATTAACACTGAGATAAAAACTCAAGCCTTCAGGACCCTCAAGATGAGACATCCCATCGCAACACTACGTTCCACATGGACCCAATAGGATAACATACTGGGAACAGTGACAAGTCCAACATATATTTAGGGAAGTAAGCCACCCGCAGTCCCTGACTTCATTCGCGTCCCGTCGTCCTCACTGCGGGAGTCCCAGTGTTCTCCCAGCCAGCGACCGGGCCTAGGTGGTGCGCACGCGCATGCAGGGCTACGCGGACACTCGGGCTCCAGAGCAACCCGGGTGCCAGGGTCGCCGAGCACCGGAACGCGAGACGCAAGGCGGGTAAAGCCAGAGCGCAACACCACAAGGTACACTCCGTGTTTCTCCGGAGTTCTTTTTTGGCGCGTCTATGACGCTTAAGGAAGCAACGCGACGGGAGGGCGGGACGAAGCGCAGCCAATCAAAGAGTTCAGATAGACGGAAGCCGCGAGGCTCCCGGAAGCCGTCCTGAGGTTGGGACCGGAAAGCGGAAGCGGCGCGCAGCACGTGGGGGCGGTGCCGGCGGAAGGGTAGATTCCTCTGGATCGTGTGGTGCTGCTGACGGCTGGAGCCGGTTACGGAGTTTGGAAACGATCTGACGTCCATGGAGGCATCAGCGGAGCAGCCAAGTCCGCAGCCCCCGCAACCCGGGGAACACTGCATCCGTGACGGCGACTTCGTGGTGCTGAAGCGGGAAGATGTGTTCAAAGCAGTGCAAGTCCAGCGGAGAAAGTAAGTCAAGTTACTGGCCTTGGCGGCGCGCACCATCACCTAGATAGATAATCACCCCCTCCAGTGTCCCACTCTTGGTTCTTTAAATCCGGCGCCCCAGCCGTTGTTGCCACCACCCAGATCTTCCTACCAACAGAGGCCGTTTCCCACTGGGATCTTTTTGCATCCTTGGCCTCTAGGACTTCATTTGCCCCTTTCTCATCCTACAGTACTCGCCTCTACTTTTCATTCCCCAACCTTCTACCTTCAGCGCCGGATTCCCTTCCCAGGAATTCCGTTCTTGGTACTGCCGTCCCCGAGGGTGCTTTCCTTAGGTTCTTAGGGTCTTCTCTATTACGGAACTCCTCCGGCCTTTTACATTGAGATCTCTTTATTATGTCTGACTCTCATCCCCACCTTGCCCATAAATTCGACTTCCTCTGTAAGAAGAGGAGGGAGGAGAGAGAAAATAAGATCCCTTACACTTATTCTGACTTTCAGGTAGGCAGACCTCTTCTCGACCTCAGCGGGAAAAATCTGTCTTCTATGAATAAGAAAAGCCAAATTCCTACAGTATGCAATTACTGTGAGCCCTTCTTTGTACATCAAAGTCCTGGAAAATCAATTGTTCACAAGCAGTTCGCTTAAGAGCTCAGAGCTCATACATAATTGGGCTTGGTAACTTTGTGACAGAGCTGATTAAGTTACTTAATCCTAATAGCTTATTGATGGTTAGAATTTATTGGAATATTTAGGTTACTTTGGTACAGTGAAGTTTTCTTTTGAACTTATGTATCATACTGCTTCTTTATTTGCTTGATTGTTGTAGTGCAGTGCAGAGGCTCTGTGCATACTAGACAAGGGCTCTGCCACTCAGTCACATTGCCATTCGCGTGATACTCCTTTGAAAGAAGTAAATCGTACAAGGTCAGAAGAACAACTCTCTGTGCGTCAGAAAACTGGGTATCATGAAATTTGGAACCCCTTCTAACGCTCACTTTGCATAAGTTATTTTTGCTACTGTTTGATTCAAGCCATTGAGTGGTATTTGAAATGGAGCAGAAAACAGTAAAAATCCTAAGGGCTGGTGATGTAGCTCAGTTGCTAGAGTGCATATCTGGCGTGCTCCAAGCCCTAGGTTTAGTTTCCAGCACTACATAAATAGACTGTTGGTGCAGGCCTGCAATTCCAGTACTTGGGAGGTGGAGGAAAGGAAGATCAGAAGGTCAGGGTCATGCTTGGAGAGTCTGAGGGCAGCCTGGCCAATGTCTCAAGAAAATAAAGCCAGTTAGACAGGCAGCAGTGTTCAGTGCATCAAGTCAGTTGGTAACCAACCTTTCTTGGCACAAGCACAATTTGATAAAGAAAAAAAATCAGGGGGACGGAGTGTTCATTCTGGTCTAAAATCAAATATCTGCACCAACTTTTGAGCATTTTAAAATTCTCCATTGATAAGACTTTTTTTGGTGTTTGAAATTAGAGAAATCTTACAACTGTCCTCGTTGCCACTGTATTTTTGTGTTCTTGAAGGTAGTGTTTTTGGTTTTCCTTTGCAGAATTTCAAATTAGAAATCCTTCAAGTATGTAGGTTTTGAAATTGACTATTTATAATTTAAACTTTTAAGCTGAAATGTAACTTTAGTGCAGCAAAACTCTTAGATTGCAAGCATGTATGTTGATGAGCCTGCCCTGTGTGCACATCAGCGCTGATGGCAAGGTGAAGCATGTTGTTCTTTCAACAATTTTCTGCCTCCCAGGTGGTGGTGGGATTACAGGTCTGCTACACCATGCTCAGTGTGCTTCCTGGTCAGATATAACTATCTGAATGTCTCTTTATAACCCTTTCCATTACCAATAAGACAGGCAGTATCTTTAGCTCCAAAGAGTACTCTTTAACACTAGTTTTTAAATTTTATTTATTTTTTTACACACTAATCCCAATTCCCCCACCCTCCTCTCCTCCAGCTCCCCGCCCCACCTCACCCTTCCATCTGCTCCTCGGAGGGGGTAAGGCCTCTCCATGGGAAGTCAGCTAAGTCTGTCCCATCACCTCCTTGAGGCAGGACCAAGTCTGTTCATCCCTCTCACCCCTCCCCCGTGCCTAGGCTGAGTAGGGTATCTCTTCATAGAGAATGGGCTCTGTAAAGTCAGTTCGTGCATTAGATTTACATCCTGGTCCCATTGGCAGTGGCCCCCCCATGCTACACGAGCCACAGCATTATCACCTGTATTCAGGGGGCCTGGATAGTCTGTGCAGGTTCCCCCGTTGTCAGTCTGGAGTCAGTGAGCTCCCACTAGCTCAGGTCAGCTGATTCTGTGAATTTCCCCATCATGGTTTGACCCCTTTGTTCATATATTGCTCCTTCCTCACTTTGATGGACTCCAGGAGCTCAGCCCAGTGGTTAGCTGTGGATCTCTGCATCTGCTTCCATCTTTTAACACACACCTTTAATCCCAACACTCAGAAAGCAGAAGCAGGCAGATCTCTGAGTTGAGGCCAGTTTGGACTACAGAGTGAGTTCTAGGACAGCCAGGGCTATACACAGAAACCCTGTTTTAAAATACATAATTTTAATTGTGTGTGTATGAATATGTATACATGAATTTGGGTGCCCTTAGAGGCCAGAAACTTTGGATTTCCTGGTATTGGAGTTATAGCCAATTGTGAGGCACCCAAAGTGGATGTGGGAACCGAAGTTAGGACCTCTGGAAGAGCAGTAAGTGCTCTCAGCTGCTCACTCATTCTCCAGCCCCCTAGAAAGTACTCTTTAGAAATTATTTGGAAGCTCTTTTTATCTACCCATCTTGGCAAAGTCATGATGGTAATTTTTGACCTGCTGAATTCAGCTGCTTCCAAGCCAGACTCCCTATCACTAGAGCAATTCTGGCTTTTTTCAAATCTTAGTCCTTCCCAGGAAATAGAGAGCTCACTTACTTATCAGATCGCATCCCCCAGTTTCCTGACTGAGCCTCCAGGTAGGTTGGTTTGAGTACATATCTCCCTGTCTTTGCTCGTAAGAGGCTGGCAGAGAAATAAATCAACCCAGCTTTAGTGTTTAACACCATGTGCAGCCAAGGGGCTGCAAATCTGGCCTGAGCTGAGCAAATGTTTTGAGTCTTATATGTTGGTTACTGAAAATTCAGCAAAGAATAAGAGTTGTCTCTGTTAGGAACACTTTAAGAGCCCACCTGAGTTCAGTCATATTCAGGTGGCATTTGATGAATGAAGCTAGGGAGATGGCCCAACAAGTAAAGCTGTTAGCACACAAGTGTGAGATACGGTGGTACATATCTGTGATATCAGCGGCATTCATACAGCAAGAAGGAATTAGAAACAGGAGATGCCCTAGAAGTTTGAGGGCCAGCTGGCCTGACATATGCAGCAGTAAACGAAAGAGAATTTGCCTCAAAATAAGATGGAATTCATCTCCTGACTTCCGCTTGCATGCTATGGTCCTGAAACATACATACATGTACATATACCACACGCGTGTGTGCACACACACACTAAAAATAGTTTCTTCTAAAGGATGTGATACGCAAAGATGTGGCAGGATAGAGAACTCAAAAGGGAAGACGACACACGTAGGACTGCAGTAGTGGGAAGCACATTCTGCGAGCCTGTAGAAAAAGAGAAAACAAGAGAGGAGTGAGAGGGTACAAACAGAATTCACCAGGGCCGGTCTCAGAACTCAGAATGCTGTGTATGCAGACTGGGCTCTGATGCTTCCCTAGGTGCAGCACTCTTGTGTCAGCTGTGCTGGGTGATATAGAAAAACACTGCAGACCTGTATGGATCCCCCAGCTTTCGCTCCTCACACAAGCAAGCACACACAGCAGGTGTCATTGTGTGTTGTGTGACATGCTTCTGGGGAGTCATTACACACGTGCAACCCAGAAGCTGCAGAGCAGCTCCAAAGTTGGACTTCTTTCAGCAGCCTGACTGGTCAGAGTTGTCCCCCACACGCTCTACCCAGCAACTGTTTACTCCTTTCAATGTTGATGGGTAGGAGACTTCAAGAATTTGAAGATTTTGTTCTCCAGTGTGTGACCTGTTGCTGGTGTCTCCTCCCCTCCTAGAGGAAGTGTTTCAGTTTGGAGGGAACACTGCAGTTCAGAGGAACATGTTTCAACACCGGCTGATGCCCAGTCTGACCTGGAGTTTAGCACTTGAACAGTACAGTTTCCCAGGTCTCAGATTTCTGTCCTGGAAAAGGGCATCCCAGTATCACTGTGAGGATGGAAAGGGCACACACACTGCTGAACATCTAGTTATTACTCAGCAGGGGTTCATTTCCTTTCTTTGAAGGGAAAGGGATTTTGTTGTGTGCTTCCCTTTGAAAGTCAGTACAGGGCTGAATGACAGGAAAGCCTAATGCCCCGCCCTCAGCAGTGCACCATCAGTATTCAGTTTATTTCAGATGTCTAGATTGCCACTAATGTTTATTTCTAATACGGGTTATTAGGATTTGCCACTTTTCTAGTAGAATAGCCAGTTAGACAGAGACCAGGGAGTTTTAAAAATTGTTGTCATCTCAGCGGTTATCTCAGTGCTTTTAGAGGTTTTCTAGTGCGAGCGGCGTGGGTTATCTCAATACATCCTCATGGTCTGGGACTCTCGGCAGTCATCCGCATGTTGAGATCTCCAGAATCTATGAGTTTAAGCAAAGTGCAAACAGATCTGTGCCCCATAAAAGGAATATCTTTTTTCTTCTAAAAGTCGGTGTTTTCCTAGCTTCTTTATGAATGTTTGTGTCTCTCCTCAGCCTGGTTCTCTCTAGTTCATTTGTCAGGTTTGTACCTAGAAGCAGCGCTGTTCACTGTGCATCGTGAGAATGAGTGCACCTGTTGTAGCACGAATGTAAAAGAAGTCAATTTACTGATTGCTTTTCCTTCCTCAGGAAAGTAACTTTCGAAAAACAGTGGTTCTACCTGGATAATGCCATTGGCCATAGTTATGGGTCAACATTTGAAGTGGGCAATGGAGGATGCCTTCAGCTCAAGAAGAAGAAGGAAGAGCCTACTTCAGGTACCCCACGCTGGATGTGTGAGATGGACGGTGTACAGTTAGCTAGGCAGACTTCCATTTAATTTGGATGCTCTCCAGGAAACTTACCTAAAACAAGAGGTGATCCTAAAAAGCCAAGGCTGACTTGAGGGGCTGATGGTCTAGGTGTAAAATGGAACTTGGGAAAAGAAGGATTGCAGATGTGGGCTTGTAGCTCAGTTGGTAGGGCATTTACCCCGTGTACACAAGGCCCCAGTTTCATCTGCAGCACTCCATGAGCGTGTAATTGAAGTACTTGTGGGATGGAGGTAGGAGGATCAGAGTTCAGGTTCATATTTAGCTATATAGTGAGCCTGAGGCCAGCCTGTGCTACCTGAGAACTTATCTCAAAAAGAAACTCTGAGGAGCTAGTGAGATGGCTCAGCAGGTATACAGACTTGTTTCTTTTAGAGCACCCAGGTTTAGTTCTGAATGCCCATATGATGCTCACAACCTCCTGTGACTCCAGTTCCAGGCATCTGATACCCTTTTCTGAGTTCAGGCACTAGGCATGCATCTGGTACATACATACATGTAGGCAAAACACTCATACACATAAAATTAAATCTTATCTTCTTTTTTTAATTTTTGAGATAGGGTCTCTACAAAGCCCTTGCTGTCCCTGACATGTAGACCAGACTGGCCTCGAACTCACAGGGATTCTCCTGCCTCTGCCTCCCTAGTGTTGAGATTAAAGGTCTGTGCTGCCATGCCCAACTCTTTTTAGAAAAAAAAAATTTTTTTTTTTAAAGAAAACATTGTGAAATAATTTCAAATGAAGGCCAGCAGGATGGCTTAGTGGGTAAGGACCTGTTACCAAATCTGACAACCTGAGTTCACTGAGACCTACTTGGTGGAAGGGGAGAAAGAACCATGTCCTAGGACCAACATGTACTATACCATGTGTGAGCCCACACACATATACAGATACATGTAAAATTAAGTAATATAATTTTAATAGTAGTTTTATATCACAATTATCATAAAGCCATTTCTTTCCTTAGAGACTAAAGAAGCGGGCACTGATAATCGAAATATAGTTGATGACGGAAAGTCCCAGAAACTTACTCAAGATGATATAAAGGCTCTGAAAGACAAGGGCATTAAAGGAGAGGTAAAAAGGATTCTTTCCCTTTGTTTGTGTGTAATAAGCTTGTTTCTAATGCCGATCTTGAGGTAAAATGGGTGTCAGTTAAAATATGTGTGCAGTGGAACCCACGGGGATTTTGTTCCTCATGCATAGGAGTAATGGGTGAGCGGCAGCACTAGTGTTAGTGGAAGAGAAGGGAACAGCTCGTTTGTTTTGATCTTGGCTGATCTTCACCTCTCGTCTCCCCTTCTTGGATATCTCTCTTCCTTTAGCTTGGTTTAAAGGAGTTGTGTGAACAAGGCTCTGGGTTCCATCCCCAACAGCAGAAAAAAACAAACCTAAATGGAGTTGTAATATGTTTATTACAAGTCCTAAGTAGAGTGTAGAGACACAGTTGAGCGCCTGGACTTCATGGAGGAGGGACTGGAGATGAGACCTTTGGCTAAGTGCTGGGGTAAGACAGTGAAGCCTCAGGAAATCTGCTTGCTCCTCCTTTTCTTACAGGAAATAGTTCAGCAGCTAATTGAAAATAGTACAACATTCCGCGACAAGACAGAATTTGCCCAAGATAAATATATTAAAAAGAAGAAGAAAAAGTAAGTCGTTTTGTTTGAAATCATTGAAAATAGCACATCTTTTTTATTTACTAAATAAATACTACTAAAAATGAGGTATTTTTAATTGTTATTCTGCTTTTAATTCCCCTAGATATGAAGCCATCGTTACTATTTTGAAGCCATCTACCCGTATTCTTTCAATTATGTATTATGCAAGAGAACCTGGAAAAATTAAGTACGCTTTGTTTCCTTTCAAAGTATAATTGGGGGAAAATATGTCTTTAAGAGAGTCATGATTTTAAGTAAAATGAAAAGCTTGCTCACCTGCATAAAGTGTCCTCCTTCCTCATAAATTGTAAGTCCTTTTACTGTCACCTCAAGCAAACAATAATCTTAGCAACATAATTTTTATGAAACAGCTAGAAAAACAATTATTAAATGTCAGGCTTTACTTAACTAAAAGTAAGTGGATCATCCTTTTTTTCCCTTAGCCACATGAGATATGATACACTAGCCCAGATGCTGACATTGGGGAATATCCGTGCTGGCAATAAAATGATTGTCATGGAAACGTGTTCTGGCTTGGTGCTGGGTGCCATGATGGAGCGAATGGGAGGTGAGTCTCAGTGTTTTCAAATACAGTGAACTGCCCTGATGTGAGTCCAAAAATTGAAACTTAGAAAACCAGATGGAGTTTCTTTAAGAAGTCAGTAGATTTCTATGGCTCCTGTCCCAGAACCTTCCTGTGTGGTCCATTTCTTTCCCACTAAGGCCATGTTAGTGTCCTGTGATGCTGGCCTTTCCTGCTTTGGTGTCTGTGGGGATGACTCTGGAACTGCAGCTGGCACTGAGGGGCTGAATAGGGAGGCTTCCCAGGAGGTATCCTCTCTTGGAATACACAAGCTGACCTATCTTGGTTTCTCTGACTCTGTGGACGATAAGTATGAATCCATCCTCTCTGTGGATGAACCTAAATCATGTAACTAAACAGGATCACTAGGTCTCCCTGCCATAGTGTCCTGAGGAGATAAGCTTCTTTAAAATTCCCTGTTTGTATAGAGGAATTATATTCTCTCTATAGGGAATGAAATATTCATAGCGGTCAAGGACCTCCAGGTGGGTTGCAGCATTCTTCACCCTCTAGACATGGGAGAAGAATCATGAATTAATTATGTGAGGACTTGGGCTTTGCACAGTCTAGATTCCTTCCATTTGTTTGTTTTGTCTGTTCAGGTTTTGGCTCCATTATTCAGCTGTACCCTGGAGATGGACCTGTTCGGGCAGCAACAGCTTGTTTTGGGTTTCCCAAATCTTTCCTCAGTGGTCTTCATGAATTCCCCCTCAACAAAATAAACAGTCTTCTAAATGGAACATTTTCTGCTGAGATGTTGTCCTCGGAGCCTAAAGACAGCACTCCGGTTGAACAGAGTAACGGTGAACATGAGGAAAAGCAGATCTCTGAACAGGCCGATGAGGACAGCATAGCAGAAGCCCCAGAAAGTAACCTAGAAGAACAGAGAACAATGGAAATTGTCCCTCAGGACCCAGAGAATAAGGAGCCTAAAGAAAAAGGAAATAAAAGAGATTATGTAAGAATGTTATGAGTCTTTATCCTTGTAATAGCCTCATTTAAGTTGTGAGATTTGAGTTAACTTTGAAACATTAGGTCCCTAGATGATAACCGTCAGAAACAACTGGGGGAAATGGGCGTGTTTGTACACAGCTGTGTGACAGTCTGGGGGCTGGAACTCTGGGTGACTTTAGCAGCAGCTTCAGCAATGCTCAGGTGACTTAGGGCTGACATTTGAGTATAACTTCCTCGGGCATCCTCATCTTCCTTATAAACCACCCCTTTCTCTGTTGTCTGCTGAATACCTCTGCTCTAATGAGACAGAGCATTTTGGTTAACTTGGCTGAATGACCTCAGTGCATTGGGTTCTTGCTGTTCAGATTCAGGAAAAGCAAAGAAGACAGGAAGAGCAGAGGAAAAGACACTTAGAGGCTGCGGCTCTGCTGGGAGAAAGAAATGCAGATGGGTATGTTGATGAGGGATGCGGGGCACTCGTCGGTGCTGCTGCGTTCTGCCTCGGTCTGTCCTGATTCTTGTGGGAAGTGAGATGAAGATTTTCTTTTGATTGTTTTGATTTTTGAGAGACTGGGCCTGGGCTGGGGAGAAGGTTCAGCATTTAAGAGCACACACTGGTCTAGCAAAGGACCAGAGTTAGGCTCCCAGCACCCTGCCTGGTGACTTCAGTTTTTGGGAGTGGATCCAACACCTGTGGCCTCCTTGAGCACCTGCACACTCATACACATATCTGCATGCAGGCATACACATTCATAATCAAAAAGGAAACAATTAGTTTATCAAGGCTTTTATTTTAAGGCTAGTAAAAATAAGTAGTTGATTGGTTGTTTTAAAAGAAAGGCCAAGTCTAGCAGAGGGGTAAGTTGGAGGTGTAATTTGATAGTTTCAAGGAAATCTGAACATTTAGCAATGACTATCAGACAGGACTGAATAGTTGTTAGGTGTGGAGGTGGAGCATTAATATGGCTATAATGCTGGCCAAAAACAAGCCAAGAAAATCCCTGTCAGAGGCTAGAGAGATGGCTAAGTGGTTAAAAGAGAGTGCTTGCTACTCTTACAGAGAACTGGTGTTCAGTAGCCAGCATCCATATTGGCATCTCACAACTGTCTATAACTCTAGTTCCAGGGGATCTGACACTTGGCCTCTGTGGGCACACACATGCTAAAATAAAATATGTCTATAAAGGGAAACAATACCTCTGTCAGCGGGACGTGAATTCAGAAGTGTAGTGTTAGGTTGCTTCCAGGTGATCTAAAAGCAAAAAATGCAAGAATATCCTACATTTAGCTGCCAGGCAGCACAAATGCTTATAACCCAGTTTCTTATAAATAAATAGCTCATGATGTCATTCTGCTCTGAATTTCTAGAATGTTGTGTTTGTATAGGTCACACTGGCCTACTCCCTGTACAGTTGTGGAACTAAAGGCAGTCCTCCTGCCTAGGCTTCATTGTTAGGATTTTAACCATGCATAACTAGGTGATCATTTTATTTTTTAATTTTACTTATTATTTATTGATTTATTTTTGCTTTATTTTCCCCAGAGGCCAGGTTTCTCTGTGTAACAGTCCTGGCTGTCCTGGAACTCACGCTATAGACCAGGCTGGACTTGAACTCACAGAGATCCACCTGCCTCTGCCTCCCAAGTGCTGGGATTAAAGGTGTGCGCCACCACTGCCTGGCTATCCGTGATCATTTTAAATACACTTAAAAGCCATGTTCCACTGGGAAGATGTAGAGGAATGTTCTCTCTGTTTTCCTTGCAGTTTGATTGTGGCCAGTCGTTTCCACCCTACTCCACTGCTGCTGTCTTTGCTAGACTTTGTGGCCCCATCAAGACCGTTTGTGGTCTACTGTCAGTATAAAGAGGTAAATGCTGAGACAAAATGCACAATTCCTACATCTGAATTTTGATCCCCCTGTTGTAGCTCAGAAAATACCTAACAGGATTCTGGTTTTGCCTTTAGCCTTTGTTGGAATGCTATACAAAACTTCGGGAGAGAGGAGGTGTCATCAACTTGAGACTGTCTGAAACCTGGCTCAGAAATTACCAGGTAAGCATTCTCACCACCGGGGTCTAGAGCTGCTGGCTCCTTGCCACCATACTGCAAATTGTTAAATAAGACCATTGTTTACAGTGGCAGTGGTGGAAGTGTCTGCCTGTCACTCATAGAAAATACCATGGCTTCCTGACCTTTTCATATCAGGGTGCACGTGCACTGTTCTGTGACTCTGGTCCAGAGGAAGGTGGGGGGGTCAGTGGGTTTTTTTGTTTGTTGATTTGGTTGGTTGGTTGGTTGGTTTGATTGGTTTAGTTTTTTGAGACAGGGTTTCTCTGTGTAACCCTAGCTATCCTGTAACTCCCCTTTTATATCAAGCTTTGAACTCACGGAGATCCACCTGCCTCTGTGCCTGACTAGTCCAGAGTATTTAAAATGCAAATAACTGGTTATACTACTCTCAAGACCTTGTCAATGGAGGTGGGTCACTGCAAATGAAGTGACCCTGTCCTCTGCTGCAGCATCTTCCCAGCCAGTTCAGGATCCACTGGTGGGAGGTGTGTTATTCCAGAACTCACGCACTGAGCTCTGTTTGTGCTTACCCTCTCCCTCGCCTACCCCCTCTCTGGCAGTGTTAGAGATCAGAATCAGCATCTCAGGCAGGCAGGGCAAGTACTCTGCCACTAAGCCATATCCTCAAATACATGCCAAGGTAGGCGTTTTATAAGAGGGTTTATTAGGGCAAAGGGGACTTTCAATATATATTGAGAGAGGGGGCGGGGGCAGGAGGGGAATGGAATTATGTAGGTCAGTACTAAGAAAAGAGAAAAGGAACAGCCTACATCCGTACACTGAGATAGTCTCAGGCAGGCCAGTGGGGAGCCAGGAGTAAAGACTGCTCGTGAGAGGGACCTCCTGAACTGAGCAGGAGTGGTCAGGTCTTTTGCCTGGGCTCAGTTTGGTCTCAGTATGATCCCTGCAACAGGTCCCAAAGTCACAGCAGCTGGAGACTTTGCTGCCTGAATACCTCATAGCCAGTTCCTTCAGGAAGGGAGGTTGGAAGGGTCCCTCCTGTGTTACCACATGTTCCGTCAGTCCTGCTGGTTGGCATCCATTCTTACCATGGTAAGGATGCTGTTGAATACAGAGTAACAAGTGAGAAGAGCCCTTGCAGGGATTAAACTCAGGGGAGTGTCCAGCCTGTGTTGTTTCTCCATATACCACACACCCGATTGTTGGCCATGAAGCTTCCTGGAACCAGAATTACTACAGAAACCATTCGCCCTTCCCCTCACACTAGCATTCAATTTGAGAGAAACAGGGCTTCGGTTATTCTTGTTTAAAACAAATAGATCCCTTTGTTTTTATACCTTCTTTTGCATTGTGCTGTGAAGAAGTGGTCTTCTTAAAAGTTAGTCATAGAAATCAAGAGAATTTGTCATTTAAATTCTGATTTTTGTTATGTTGTTGACATAGTTTGTAAGAGTGCAGAAAGATAAGAATGTCTGTTTTTTTCTGTCCTGGTTAGGTTTTGCCAGACCGGAGTCATCCGAAGCTGCTGATGAGCGGAGGAGGAGGATACCTTCTGTCGGGCCTAACTGTTGTCTCGGACAGCCTTCGAGCGGACCCCAGCCTCAAGTCTTGTGCAAGCACTTTAGACTCACACGCGGCTGAGGAGCCAGCCACTAAAAAACAGAAATGCGTGGGATCTGGCTCTTAGAGATTGCTGTTTGTTCCAAGGCATTCTGCAGCTGGCAATTACACTTTAAATGACATCACTAAATGTGTTTTCCTATCCTCAGAATGTGTGTACACCTACCTGTTCCTGGGGTTAGTCAGCACTACAGCTCCGACATGTGGTAATGGGTGGGTACAGCAGTCCTGTTTCTATAACAGACTTTGAGTACTTAAAACTAATGTCAACATCCTGGAAATGTTGATATGTAAGACTTTGTTTATATTTTAAGCAAAGATGAATAACACAAGCTAGCTAACATGATGAACAGAGAAAGGAAGTTCCCTCTCATCCATTCTCCTCTACCTAAGCAATATGGATGTGTGCGCCTATGAGATTTACAGTACCAAAAAAATGTGCCCTGCAATGGAATAAGCTTTTTTAAATACTAGATTTTATTATTTTAATAGTTGACATCCTGAGGAAGATCCAGGCATTTCTTTTACTGCCTCTCCCCTTTTCGGTGCATAGAAAGGTTTAGTAGGTGCTTTTTGCAGTGGTTCGTGCATCTTCTTTGTTCTAAAAAAGTGATTAGAACTTCTGTGAACTTCTAAACAATTGATTTTTCCCTCTCTAGAAATGTGTGCCAGTGTTGGTACGTCTGTATGTATCAACACAGACAGAATGTACTACCTGTAGGGGAGAGAGAATGAATGCAGTTTATTTGAACTGTGGTAAAGACTTGTACAAGTCACACCAGCTCTCAGTGCGTTGGTATCATTCCTTGTCAAGTGTGTTTTAAGTGCCTTTTCCTGGGATTACTCACACTGGTCTCTGAAGGTCTGTCTGCTGGAGTGAGGTGGGTGGCCTTTATCAGCTCTGAAAAAGTCTAAATCAAATTACCATTTCCATTGTAAGAAATAAAAATGTCTAGAGTAACTCAAGACTCCTGCTCACTAGAACATGCTCGTCGTGTATAGTGCGTGCGTCATAGACGCCTACCCAGCAAGGAGCATCTTGGATGAAAAGGATTGTTTTAGTAGCATGTGCTGTTCTAATAATGGCTGCTCTGATTGCCAACTGTGGTTTTTATTCCTTTTCCTCTAAATAATTGCTTTTAAAGAATAAAAGTTTCCTACTCTGAGCCATGTGTCATTAATGATAATGATGCTACGTTTCCCACATTGAACTGGCAGTGACATGTCTCTGTGGTAGAGAAGACACTGAAATGTGCCACGCGCAAGTCATTTAGGAGAGCACAGAGGAAACGCAGTAGGGTTGGTCACTGTTAAAATGACCTCAGCTGGTGTCCCGGGTTCTGTTCCAGCCTCTGAATTGTTGAGTCTGCACTTGAGGTAGGGATTTAGGGTCTGAGCTACTAAGCCCTGCATGCCTCAGAACACTAGCAAATACCTCAAAGCGGGGGAGGGGTCTCTAGGGTTGGAACTTGGGTTGTGTGTGCCTTTACCGGCCAGCCATCTCACTAGCCCTGACATAGTTTTGATACATAAGAAATTTTGAGAGTATTCGGATGTTGTTTGAAAGCATAGGTTGTAAGAACTGCAACAATACAAATACTAGAGACTATCCTAAAAATCCAAGGTCTGCAGCATCCAGATACTTGATCCTGTGATCTGTGGTGTGCAGTGCCAGCGGGGAGAGTGGACCTAACCACCTTACTTGAAGTAGTTAATTTTTATTTAAAGAAAACAAAAGATGCCAGGCAGTGGTGGTGCATGCCTTTAGTCCTAGCACAGAAGCAGAGGCAGGAGGATCTGAGTTCAAGACCAGCCTGGTCTACAGAGTGATGAGTTCCAGGACAGTCAGGGCTACACAGAGGAATCCTGGGCTGTGGCTTGATGGGTAAAGGTGTTTGCTGCATAAATCTGGCGACCTGAGCCCACATAAAGTGAAAGGACAGAACCAAGTTCACAAGACCATCCTTTAATCGCACATGTGACAACTCTGCTCACACCTACACATCATAAGTAAATTAGTTTCACTTAGATTATGAATTTATTTGGACTTAACTGTGGGTATAGGTCAGATTCTAAGACTGGACAGCTAGTTAAAGAGCAGGGAATAAACTGTTAGCAATCCTGTTAACATAAGGTACCCACAGCTTTTTAAGCCTTTATTCATTGGAATAAAATTTTAATCATACCAGGTTTTTAAATGGGAGCCTTATAAAGCTATACCAACACCAGAGGTCACAGTCCAATGTTCTCATACCACATACTTAAAACAGTTTCTAAACATGTTATTGTATGTGTTCTGTGTTGGATGTATGCCAGTAATGGCATATGCATGCCACAGTGTATATGTAGAGGTTAGAGGGCAGCTTTGGAGTCGGTTCTCTCCTTCCTCCGTGTGGTAGTCAGTCTTGGACAGCAAGTACTTCTATCCCCTGAGCCATCTTGCCAGCCCTGAAGCAGTAAGTACTGGGGTGATAGGCACAGTGAATAAAGTGATTGCAACCCATATATGATACTTGAAGTTCCAGAACCAAATAAAGCCAGACACGGTAATCACAGTGTTCATATGGTAAAATGAGAGGCAGAGACAGGAATGTGTGGGATAATCTTTTTGTACACTGTGAAGATGTGCCTTCTGCCAAGGCACCTTCTGATTGGTTTATTAAAGAACTGAACACCCAATCATTAGGCAGGAGAGGATAAGCAGGACTTCAGGCAGAGATAGGAGCTCTGGGAAGAAGAGGTGAGATTCACCAGCCCAACATGAAGGAAGTGGGACAGACGATTGGAGGAGAGGTGGCAAGCCAAGAGACAAAATGTAGACTAATATAAATGTGGTAATTTAAATTTTAAGAACTAATTGGGAATAAGCCTAAGCTAGAGTCAAGCTTTCATGCTTAATAATAAGTCTCTGTATCATTATTTGGGAGCTGGTGGTCCAAAGAAAGCCTGGCTACACAGGAATCCTTCAGAAGCTCAAAGACCAAGAATTTTAACAGTGACAAACAATGAAGTCCCTGTGACAAAATGGAAGTCAAAGGCTGAGGTTGTCCTCTGACAACCACATGTTGGCCATAGCACATGCACACTCACACGATGTACACATAGCACATGCACACTCACATGATGTACACACAGCACATACACAGTCGCACGATGTACACATACATGGCCATGCACACTCACAGTGTACACATAGCACATGCACACTCACACAATGTACACATGGCACATGCACACTCACACAGTGTACCCAGCACATGCACACTCACACGATGTACACACAGCACATACACAGTTGCATGATATACACTTAGCACATGCACACTCACATGATATATACAAAAACTGTTTTTTAAAATCACAGTTCCATTCTGTCTTAGGATTTCTATTGCTGTGATCAAACAGCACTATAAAAGCCACCTGGGGAGGAAAGGATTTCTTTGGCTTAGACTTCTCCCTCACTGCTCATCATCAAAGGAAGTCAGGACAGGAACTCATGAACAGGGCAGGAACCTGGAGGCAGGAGTTGATGCAGAGACCTTAGAGGGATGCCCCTTGCTGGCTTACTCCTCATGACTTGCTCAGCCTACTTACTTATAGAGGTACACTACTCTCAGTGGACTGAGTCCTCCCCCATCAATCACTAATTAAGAAAATTCCCTGCAGGCTTATATACAGCCAGATCTTACGGCATCATTTTCTCTATTGAAGTTCCCTCCTCACTGATGGCTAGACTTTGTGTCAAAGTTGACGTAAAACTAACAAGCACGTGTTCCAAGGATTGCAGTCTTGAGTGTTTATCAAGTTAAATGTCTATGGCAAGCAGGACAGCAGAGCAGAGGCCAGGAGTCAGACCATATCGTAGAGAATACTTACTGAGTGGTCTCAATTACACCACAAACCAAATGACTTCCAGCATTTTCCTCCATGCACTTGTCCTAATCATCTGGTTTACCATGGATTCCTGTGTTGCAGCCAGTAATTGAATGGTCATCTTTGAATAAATGCAGACTCAATAGACATTTGGTCACACCATGTTTGCTAGTAATCACACTGCCTAGACCTCCAATGTATCGCTCTTGATCTTCAGTCTGAGGAAAAGGTGTTTCTGGTGGTGGTGGTTTGGTTTTGGGAAGCTGATTGGTATATTGATTATTAACACTGCTGAGACAAAATATCTGATCAAAGCAACTTCAGGGCTTATTTTGGCTTACAGTTTGAGGGAAAGGCGAACATGGCAGGGAAGGGGTGGAAACAAGCATGAGGTTGCTGGTGAGATGGTCAAGGAGGCAGCAACAAATGCTGGAGCCAGCTTTCTTCTTTTTACCAAGTCCAGGATTCAGCCCGGGCAATAGTGCCACCCATATTTAGGGTGGATCTTTCCACCTCAAATAGCCTAATCTGGATAATCCCTCACAGACATCCCAGATTGGGATTGGAGATCCCGTGTTGTTGATAATATTACCCATAACAAGCCCACCCCTTGTCTACTTGACACTCAAAAGTTAATACTTTTTGTTTTGGAGGGGTTTTCTTTCTTCCTTTCCTTTCTTCCTTCCTTTCTTCCTTCCTTCCTTCCTTTCTTTCTTTCTTTCTTTCTTTCTTTCTTTCTTTCTTTCTTTTTCTTTCTTTTTCTTTCTTTCTTTCAAAAGATTTATTTACTATGTATACAGTGTTCTGCCTGCAGGCCAGAAGAGGGCACCAGATCTCATTATAGATGGTTGTGAGCCACCATGTGGTGGCTGGGAATTGAGTCCAGGATTTCTGGAAGAGGAGCCAGTGCTCTTAACTTCTGAGCCATCTCTCCAGCCCTGGATGGGTTTTCTGTTGTGGGGTATTTTTGTGCATTTGTTTGCTTGGGGGTTTGTTGTTTGCTTTGTGAGACAGGTCTCACTATGTAGCCTTAGCTAGTCTGGGATTTACTCTGTAGACCAGGCTGGCCGTGAACTCAGAGGTTCACCTGCCTCTGCTTTCTTTATTCACGCCAGGTGTCACAGTACGTGCCTGCAATCCCAGCACTTGGGAGGTGAAGGCGTGAAGATCAGGAGGTCAGAGTCATCCTCTGGTCTATTTAACATGAAATCCATGTTACCTTTGGCCAGCCCTGCAGTGTGTCCCTGAACCACAGCCAGCCCATTTCCCTCCCCCTTCTGTTTGAAGTAGGTGGTCCCCTGTTGTGAGCATTGCTCTTAGGCAGGCACTTGGTGCCTCATGGTGACTGGGGTTGGGGGCTCAGTCCAAGCTCTGAGAGTGGGCAGAGACTCTCAGACCTTTAAATCATAGGAAATGAATATAAGCCTTTATCTTTAGTTAACTTTTTTGTTGCTGTTTGTTTTGTCGTTGTTGTTGCTTTTCAAGACAGGGTTTTTCTGTGTATCTTTGGCTGTCCTGGAACTCGCTTTGTAGAACAGGCTAGCCTTGGACTCACAGAGGTTTACCTGCCTCTGCCTCCCAAGTGCTAGGATTAAAGGTGTGCACCACCGTGCCTGGCTCTCACTTTACATTTTTATTAATAACGTCAACTTTTGGCATTTGCCCAAGAAATTAAAATATGACTAGAAAGACTTCAGTATTTCTTTTCATACTGACACCAGAGTGACAAGGTACTAAAGAAAGTTTGTTTTCCAGTGTGGGCGGCTTCAGCCTTCTGGTTACTTTGTACATTTAGCATTAGCACCAGAGCCATTAATTCAGAGAGTCCAGGAAATAGAGAGTCCTTTGTTTTCTGGGAGGACTCTACCACCTCCTCTCAATATACTCAGGAGGGGTGTGCTGGTCGGTTTTATATCAGCTTCACACAAGAGAGGGCTATTTGGGAAGAGGAACTCTCAACTGAGAAATTGTCTCCATCAGGTTGGCCTATAGGCAAGTCTGTAGTGCATATGTGTTTTACTATATATGTATTGTATGTGTGTGTGCACATGTGTGTAGGTGGGCATACTTGTTGGTTGTTATATGAAAGACTTTTCTTGGGGAGACACAAAACACACACATGTCTACTCACCCCAGAAAGAGAACCCATGGTAGACAAAAGTAACAGTAGCATAAATGTCCTTAGTGACATATCTTTTTAGCTCCCTGGAAACCTATAGGACCACTGTCATATACACGGTCTACTATTGATAGCAATATTGTGTAGCATCTAAGGGTCGTGCGTGTTCATGAT